TTCAGAAGAATAATCGTTACTTTGGCATTACAAACGAGCAATTAATTATATTATCGTCACAATGCCGAGCTGCAATTGTTAATCATATTTTTAATTCATTTAATTTAAAATACTGTATAGACTACGCTCTCCAGCTCAAATTAGAAGTGACTTGACCCTAGATATCATACTTTTCCTTCAGCAATATAGTCATGCCGGTCATCTATCTAACACCTTTCAGGGGAAAACTTTGAATTGAAATAAAGTGACTTCCTCTTTGCATCGGAAATTCGTATATAGTTAATCGGAGCCGCCTGCCTCTAAGATTTCCGTATATGGTCTCGTCTTTCATCTATCTCTCTCTTCTTGAGATTAATTAAAGACAGACGGACTGAGGTCAGTGGGAATTTATAGATCCTACAACTTTTTCAAATTTGAAAAAGTTGTAGACCTATGATAGCCATCAAAAAGTAGGTTAAACTTAGAGTGTCTTCCACAGTCCATAATCGAATATTGTAATGGACAAAGATAAAATATCTATAAAAGATCAATAAACTTGACTTGATGAAAAGACTAATCCTAATGTATTATGACGCACGCAAAGCCTTTGTTATTTGAGAAATTTGCAACAGCAATTGTATGCTTATTAAACGTAACCAGTTTTACCTTAACTCATTGTAACGATAATTATAACAATGGAGCCAAGGAATCTGTTTTCTATAAATGCGGAAGATTGGGTAACTCACAGAGTCAACGTCACTGTCCAAAACCATCGAATTTGGATATAGAAGCTCCCAGAACTATACAGCATATTTCATTTCATTCTTCTAAAGTCACTTAGTTTTGTTGAGCCCTTTAACAAGTTGATATCTGAATAGCATTAGTTATTGGACTGCAATTTGAAAAAAAAAATGTAGACCTATAAATTCCCACTGTCACCCGTCCGTCAGTCTTTCCTTAATCTCGAGAACGGAGTTAGATAGATGAAAATCGAGAGCAGATGTGGAAAGCTTAGGGGTCGGAGGCTCCGATTAACTGTACAAATTTTCGATCTTAACCGGAAGTTACACGATTTAAATTCAAATTTTTTACTCCATATATAGAGCGATGAACTCGGTATAGAATTGCTCCTCATGATAAACTGAGATCAGTAATGTATTGTTGGACCCTCTAAAGTGTACAATATTCACAACGTATATTTTCTCGCATCATCATACAGAAAAAGTAATCACAGTCTCGGATTCATCTTTAAAAGTTTTATTAATTTAAATTAAAATATAATTAAAAATTGCAGTCGAACATTATAACGGTGTCACAATAATTTATTTTATTTTATTTTCTTGAGGAAATCCATCAGACGTGAGCAAAGTGTTCCGTTACCACAATTCAATTTTGCATACCTCATATAAATCGTCGTTTATTTATATGCAAGACCGAACACCATCACACTTACAGAACCATCTCACTGTAAAATGATGCCGCAGAAGCTACCGCCCTGTTCGTACTATGCGGTAGCTTCTGTAGCATCATTTTACTAAAAACAAAAATGTGATTAATTAACCTTTATTCCCGTTCGAATGGCATTTCGCTCACCCAACATCACTTCATGCATTTTTTTGGGGGGGGCGCTATTTTAAGATTATGTTAGATTATTCTAATCTACCATGAAAACGTCTCTAACTTGGCAATCTTGATGAATATTTCTCTCGTCATATTAACTTGTAAGATCTGCTATGGAGCATGCTGTGAACCAAATGCAGTTTCTGATTCACAAAAAGCTCCAGAACAGTCAATTCATTCCATTTGAATTTTGGATGTTTAATTTAGTTATTCATTAAATTAATCCTTTATTTAAAAAAGTAAACATAATAATAATTTGATTTGATTTTAAACTCAATATTTACGTGAATAAAAACAGTTCTCTTTTGATTTTGTGTAGAATTTTGTCGCAAATAGTAAAGTTATCAAACGTTACCATTATGAGTATGGTACAGTACCATTTGATAACTATTATATAATTATATCATTAACTAATCAAGCGAGAAACCTTATACAAAGTCGTTTAAATGTATCATCTTCCGAGACAAGATCAAAATTAAAATTCATAATTTAGGAGAAAATTTTCTGGCCACGCCAAACACATTAACTTTCAATCTATCTTATTTAGAATCATCGTGCCTGCTTTTCGAAGATTGCGACTGGCATAATCAGGTCTAGCGTGGTTTTAGTCACGTTTCTGATGTTTATATATGCATAGTTTTAGTATAGGCTAGTTTCGGTCTTAGTACTAAACGTAGGTCTACATTTGGGTGACCAAACCCAAGTTTTAGTTTTAGTAAACTAAAACTATGCTTATTACGATACTGTAAAATAATACAATTTATGATTTTAGTTAACTTTACTGCTTAATATTTATAAACTTGGAAATCCTTTGCCTTAAGAAATTGCTAAACATACATTTACCACTGTAAACTACAATATGTCATTGTAATGATTGCTTTCGTCGTAAATTTTTGTATTCTTTTTTGCAGTGCCAATGACAGAACGAAGGGCATTTGTTAATTAAATAAAGAAATAGGAATTTGAATTGTTAATTCAAGCTCTTGAAAGCCTCAATGCTGAAAGTTTAATTATGACTACTTGATTTATATGTTTTTATATGGAAAATACTTTACAGTAAACTAACAATAAAATTTACTTTAAAAAAAAAATTGTACAAATAAAGCTCTATGTAGACATTTACACATTTATTTTAATGAAATGTCATAAAAAATCATAAAAATAAAGGAATTGCGATCGATATTCGTCATCGTTATGTAAATTAATATACTTTGGTCCGATATTAGACAGAACAGTACAACTCTAGTTATTCTAAATGTGGTTACTTTAAATAATCACCGGAATAATCAACATTGTTTTATATTGGTTTAGTCATTTTTATATAGTCTAAGTTACAAACGGAACTTCTCGATTAAACTCAAATTTGCTTCTTTTGGTAATCGATAATATCTAATAAGTTCAAACAACTGTAAAGGATAGACCGAAATGATCGATAGATTCGTTCTCTTCAACCGTAAGAAACTAAGTATTGTTATGCCATCTTAAAATGAAGAATAACGAAATTCCACTGGCATGGTAACGTAACATTTCCGTTAACGGCGCGTTTCGTGAATACGTTTAAAATGTCATTAATGTGTCTTATAACGATAATTCATCGTCTTTTTTCGGTGACGACACGTTCCTGAATCCAGCCATAAGCTATAGCAATAGAAGTATATAAATTAGCTTATTCCTAATATCGGCAAGGAATGTATTATATTGGTGGGATAAGATTGAATTCAACACACGAGAGATATGCCTAGGGGAGTGCCTCTCGCGTGCTAAATAAGGGCCAGTTCTATTGGAAATTTTTCCCTAATTAGGTATTAGCATGCCTGAAAAAAATCCCGGAATACTCCACGATACCAGCCTATATGTCTAGTCTCTTTATGTGAGTAACAAAACGAACACAGTGAGATTATCACGTGGTTATAACGCATTCATTGAGACCATTTATTGAACGAGTTCGTGACACACGATACTGCCAACATATTCGTGTCGTTACTCTTATAACTGGAGCTAGGCACCCTATTGTCCAGACACGAACTCGCCTCCAACTATCAGTGTTCGGTGATTTTGTTTACTCGATCACTGATAGGCATATCGGTTAGGTCGTAACCTAGTCGATATGGCCCACCAGGTTATGACGTAGCCATCGACCACAAAGAATTCAATTTTAAAATACTGTATTTAGTGTTTTAATGCTTCCGTTCATAGGCATAAGTATCACTATCGATCGCAAGTTCTAAAGTGGGTTCCAATCCGGTCGCTAGGGATTTCTAAAGGATCAATAAACTTATCTAAGGATCGAAAAATTAGTGAAAAATTTAAAAATCGTTAGTTAGCTTTGTTTTTATTATGATAATTCCATAAAAGACGATTATTTTTTCCCATCTAAATGTTAATAGAAATAAAAAGAAAAACGTCTTTTCATTAAATCTGTAAGTAAATATTTGGCTGGTAATAATTTCAATTTCTTCATGAATAAATTACAACTGCATTGCTGTTCTTAGTTAGATGAGAATCTTGTGGAGGCGAGCACGTGTCAACGATTCCAGGTAAATGCAATGCAGTTTGTTTGGTCATGTATTCCGACACTAAATCCGAATTCTTCTTCCAATTCTCTCTCCCTTCCTCTTATCCACGTTACCGATTACAACGAACGTTTTTGGTCTTTAGTCTGAGACGAGTTCCACTCGAAAGCCCGTGGAAGACCCGACAGTTACGTTAAGTCAATCGTTCGACGAAGAACCAAATGGATTTCGTAATACAAACTTTAAAATACTTTCGTGATTAAAAATGTCCCCGAGGAAGATCGTATTCTTAAAGATGGAAAATTTCGAGTTATAAATAAGTGCAAAACTGTTCTATTTTAACTATTAAGAATACGGCCTACCTTATCTCTGACGCCAACAGTAGATAATTACTTTTATAACATTCGATAGGTTACTTTTCGAAATGAAAGTGGAAAGGTCGTTTGTTTAACGAGCGAAAGGCGGTTTGTGTCCGACTCTTAATGGCACTTTAAAGAAAACAAATTTACAAATTAGTCGAAATAAAATGTTTTATTATTCGATCCGAACAAAAACAATTTCGATAATTTGAAAATTACGTTCTCTGAGAAAGTAGCGAACGCAATTTTCCAAATTATCGATAATTCTTTTTCTCTGCTCTTCGAAACCGTTTCTTGGCACTCGTTCGAAGTTCTTGGTTTTTTAATCTGCCAAAATTCAAATTATAAAGCGAGAATTCCGACGAATTATTCCTCGTTTTCGATAAATTGTCCAGGACGTTCCGCGCCCAACCTCTTTTAAAGGCCAAATGTACCGAGCGATTCATTCCGCCAATAGTCTCTTTTGACACGTACAACGAATACAGACGATTGGTCTTAATTTCGTCTTGCCCGTCCGTACAAGGGTCCTAACAGAACCGAAACCGACGTCGATTTAGCGCAAGAAATCGGCGGTCCGAAACGGTAAACGCGTGTCTCCCGATATAACGTTGAAGGAAGTAAAAAGAAAGCATACGACGGGACGGAAGTTAAGGTTTCAACCACTTTATTTGACACACCTGACACACTACATCGGACAGCGAATGGGATAGCACTCGACTACGACGTCTATCACTGAATCTCTACACATCGAGAATTGAAGTATCGGTCGACTCTGCGGTCGTTCCATTAAGATGCGAAAGTTTTATTTCCCGTACACGGTTTCGATACGTAGTGTAAGTGCGAACGATACATCGAGGGAAGAAGGAAGAATCGCGCCGCGGCTACCGAGACCCGCCGGCGTCCGGGCGAAGGAGAATCGGGTCGGAGGTTGTCGAAGGTTAATCGTCCCGGATGAAACGATGATCTAGATTACGATTCGGATGTTTTCCATTCGTTAGAAAAGTTTTAGGCCTACTCGACCAAGTGCTTTTATGAAAACTTCTCGACCGAAGGTCGTCGGATAGAAAAAACGACCGATAGAAATATCGTTAGGGTGATTCTCGACTCCCACGCGTCGCCGTTCCGTATCGTCCGTCGCCGTGACGAGACACACGCACATCGAGCACAGCCGAATATATATATAATAGTACATAGTTATGGCACTAGAAAGAGGTAGAAAAAGGGGAAGAGAGACGTGACATCGACTGACAGCTGGCCATTGATCCGTTAAAAGGCAAAAGAGAAGAATTCGGGTCGACACAGAGCACGACAGTCAAAAAGAGTTTTGATCGGCGCCGAAACACCAGTCTGAGCTCGAACAGGAGGAAAAAAAGGTCTTCGGTAGATCGACCGGATCCAGAATTTGGTGGATTAGCGAAGGACTCGAACCCAGAGAAATGACAAAAAAGTAAAATAAAATAAAATAAAAAAGAGAATTATCTCTAGCGTTTATTGCTGGTGTTAAATTTACCTGTCCCGTCGGCCGGCCGCCGTTTAGATGCTCCCTCCGTAAATCTACGTACTCTCGCTATAAACAATATAAACCATATATTATATATAGCCGTTAACGAGCTAACGGTATTTAAAAGGGGGGAAATCAGTGGCCGATCGAGGGGTACCGCCGAGCGCCACCGTTCCCCTTCTTCCTTTGTTTAGAACCTAAAAAATACTCTTTGGCGCAACTAAGAAATTCTTTACGAGGTTCGAACGTTCGGCCAACGCCGGGTTACATGTCGCCGAAGATACCGGCGAATGTTTTTCGAAGGTTCTTCATCGTGTCTTCGGGATCTTCCACGCTCTTCTCGCCATTGGCTTGCGACGCTTCCCTCCTGGGCGCACCTCCCTCGGCCACGCTCGCTCCTCGCGTCGGGGGCGCCGCCGGTCGAACCATTTCCGTCACCGACGACTGCGAACCCCGTCTGGCGGCAATGGCCGCCGGTGGCGGGGGTTGGGCTACGGGCGACGTCTTCTGAGGCTCTTGTCTTTGGTAGGAAGCCGGTGGCGCCATCTGGGGAGAACAATTAGCGCGGTAAAAATCGCGTTCTTCCGACGGTCTCTTAACTTAAAATGCCGCATTTTTCTGATAAATACGTCTTTACGGACGAATACGTTTAATTCTTTTAATACTTCTCTTAGGGATTTAGAGCGCTCACCTGTGATTGGGGAGCGGCGGGTTGTCCGTGTTCGTGAAGAGTCGGTTCTTCGGCAGTCGTGTAACTCGAAATACTGGATCGAGAAGTTTGTTTTCTGTAAAATATTTGAACTCGTTCCATTAAAATAATCAAGGTAGAAATCTCCCTGAATTTTAAATAATAAAAAAACGGACATAAGAAAAGACAACCTACCAGCCTAACTGTGACTTTTGCTATTTGTAAGCGATTCCAACATTAAGTCGACATCAATACGTTTATATCAAAAATACTTTACCCACTAATAAAATACGAAAATGTTAGCAAATTCTCAGGGGAAAAAACACGAGAGTAGATAACTTAAAGGGAAAAACAGTGGTTTACTGAACGGTTACAATAAAAAACAGAATCTTTTAGTTCAAATTTAAATAAAATTGGCTATTCTTCGTCTCTAGGCGTTAAAAACTCCCCCCTTCCCATCGGTTAACATTACGACGCGGTAAAACCTGTCCTGAAAAATAATTTACAGTCTCATCCCTTTCGCTAGATTATAATAAATTTGCATACAAACTATTCGCTCTAATATATATGGACGGTGCGTCGTCGGCTTTTTTTCGTCGTTTAATACCTAAAATAGAAATTGCACGCGCTATGCCAACGACCATTTTTATATGTCGCCAAGAAAAAGTTTAAGGAGGGAGAAGTCTAAATACGGAATTAAACGCTGTTACGCTGACCAAACTGATGGGAAAGAGTCGTATCCGGCCCTAGTACGTAAGGTAAGGTTTAGTTCAAGTCAAAGACGACATCAAAATCATCGCACTTTCGTTAACTTAACGCCATTTTCTCGGAGAAACAATAAGGAAAATATGTCCGATGTTCTTTATTATACAAATTACACATACTTTTCTACAAATTTAGCAGAGATATGTTACGTAAGTCGAACGAAAACGAGTTATATTTCTTTTTACGTAAGGAGAGAATTAAGGAGTGCCACGTTTAGAGGCAAAAGTTTTCGTTCCCTGACTAAGATGCAGCTAGAAAGCTACAACAAAGACTATAAAACAGAAGGAAATTGGAAAGAGTAGAAGTAATCGCGTGTTTGCATTAACGGTAGGAGTCGTATTTGGTTCATAGTTTGAACGCCGGATCCGGGGGGCATCCTCCATAAAAGAAAGACCAGTTGTCGGAGAGCATTACTCGCGTCGGACTGGACGTAGTAACGAGGTCGTCGAGTCGGTAAACTACCCATCGACCGAATAGAAAAAGCCCTTTTTCTCCATCGACCTACATTCCGTTCCCGCCGATGATTCCACAGTTTACGACGGTCACAAAAGTTATTACCGTGTTTTCCCTTCTTTAGTGAAGTTGTGTTTTTAACATAAAAGATAGAAAATAAAGCGTCCTCTCGACGCTCCTATAAACATTTAACCCGAATTCTGTACATAAAAGTTTCCAGTCGTTTATTTATTTATTTTTTGATTTAAGAAAGATGCTGATCGATAAAACAATACCTTTTCAATTATTTGAATAATTTACGATCCAAGAAAAATTTCGAGGATCTTCTCCGACTTAAATATTTATTTTTATAAATTATTTACGGTTCTTCTACAGTTTACACCGCAAAACTTTAAATTAATTTAACACCGGTGAATTTCAAGAATTGCAATTTCTGTTATTTAAATATCGTTTAACAAGCGGGGGTCTTGTTTAAACAAAAATAAAACTGAAAGTCGTATTTATTCCTTTTATAATATTTCCTAAGCTGCCTAACACCTTGATAGCGTAATAGTTTCCGATCCAACTAACTTATATGTCTGTTTTACGAGTAGGAAGAACCCATGAAAGTAACGATGTCGGCATAGAAATGTAATTTCGCTTTTTATGTAGGAAGTTTTTCAATTACTGTATTCCATAAACAAGGTTTAAGTTATAACGAAACAATGGAAATTCGTTGGAATAAATTTCAATTTGTTAAAGATCGATTGGTCGTCCAACCACAAACTTTTCTCTTTGTACTTTGACGGTCGAGATTTCGGGTAAGACCAAAAATTCCATTTTATCGTATTTCCAATGACGTCATTCGACATTGGCCTTGGAAAAAGTCATCGAAGTTTCGTATTTAATTAATTCTTCGGATACCATTTATGGTTATTTTTCGATAATTACGAGCGATTCGTCTGTCTCCTTTGCAGAGAAGCGAATTTGAACGTGAGACATTTTTGTTTTGCTCACGAAACCGTCGTTACGCAATCTCATCCGACGACGTTTCAATTGTTTTTATCCAGTAGAATTGTGGGAGTTTCGGTGAGCGAAACAACGTTTCGACCTCGAACCTTCGGCTTTTGCAATATTCTTATCTTACGGGTTAGGTTCTACCACGAAATTAGGTTAGTGGTCAAATGCCATTACCAAATTGGAAGGGACGAAGATCGTTGCGTAATCTGAGGCGCGGCGCGGCCACAAAAACATCAAAAATGCGTTTCCCGGGCTAAAGAAGGAACGATTTGGCTCAAAGACCGTCTGTTGGCCAAATTCTTTCGCCATTATTACTGTTGGATTTTCCGGTAAACTAATAGGCCTATATTTATTCAAATGCGTAAGAATCGTAAACCATCAGAGTCCGTCGGAGTAAGGTGAATCTGGGCGGAGAATGCAAGGTAAAGGGAAAAACTTTAGTCCCGAAATGGACTATTTCATTCTGCGGTTTTGTTACATTTTAAAGTTAAATTACTTTAAAGGCCGCACCAAAAATAAAAAGGCCAAATTCCGGTACATGTAAAGACTCTGGGACGAACGTAACGCGCTCAATTGATAAATGAGGTATAATGCGACAGTCATTCAATTTGCATTTAAATAACGTGCGCTTAAATTCCCGATAATGCGTTTGTCCTGTTACAGTTAATAAAAAGTGACAGATCTCGATGATTTTATTGCTGACGATAATACTCGCGTTATTTTAATCCTAAAAAAACAAAAACTCTATCGGTGCGCGTACGAACGTCCGGAAAACGAATTATTGAATAGATGAAGTTTTCATCCGACGAACTTCTCTCCGCCGGCGGTAGATTTCCGGAAAGGGGGCCGGTGTCTTATTTAAGAGAAAGGACCGGGACCGATGACCACTTACGTTAAGACGGGCTTGCAATAGGTTTGTATTCTCTGTACGACTAAATCGGCGATCAGTCTGCGATCTTCTTCTTGCGTCTCGCCCAACAGTGTCATGGCCGAGTCGTTGACCTGAAAGTACAACCGGTTCCATTGTTATATTAGTTCGTTACCTTGTATGGTGCGGGGACAAACGGGTCCTTACGTAACTCTCGCCTACCGACTTACGAACGCACTTATCTCCCGTTTGAAATTCGTAACACTCGCAGAGGAAAAGTTACCAAATCTTTTCGGAATACAAAAGTAAGAATGTCGAAAGGGTTCGAGAGTTACGTAAACTAACACTACTTAACCGTATTATTTAAGCCGGTTTTTAAATACGATAGTAGCCGACGTCCTCCGTCATCGTAGTCGAAACCGTAAATAGGCAAAGACGTATTTAGGGAGGAGGAAGAGACTGGGTTTTGAGCGGAGAAAGGGGTTCCGATCACGTTCTTTTCTTTATTCTCGTACAACACCATTAAATTCCGAGTGGAATTCTACTTTTACGTCATCCTTAATGTCCTTACCGTCTTCCGACGAAATAAGGATATTAAAGGTGTGGATAGACGAATCTAGGGACGTTTCCGAAGAGGAAATTTTCTGTTTTCTGTTACGTGAAATTACGCAAACGATGCGTAACGAGAATACTTAAATAGCGCAATCAGTAGGTATTTTTCTTGGGGAAAAAACGAATTGTACGGAATAGGGACGCGTTCCATATTCGCCGGGGTTAAATCTAATGGTGTGGGCGCGTTCCGACGGCGTCCGGATCGAAACTTTCCGTTTTATCCGACTTAGCCTATTTATAAATATTATAAAAACTTAAGAATTAGGTCGTTCACCGTCCACGAATATTTTAGATTTAACCGTCGACTAAAATAGAATTAATTTAATTCTCTTTGTTATTCCGAAAGCGGCTGGCACTCGAAAGCTGTAACAATTACGGAAAGTCGGGCCGTGGACTACTCCAATAACGGCTTTCTTTCCACCCCGGGGACGAGGGTCGGAAAATATTCGGTTGGTTCAACGTTCCAACCATTATTATCGGTTTTCTGTTTTCTCTTGGTGACTAGCAAATGGAAATCCTCAGATCTGAAAACGCAGTGCGCCGTTAAACCTTCTGCCACCCCTCGAAAAGCCGCGAAAGACAAGTAAAAGGCGTTCGATTCCTTTCCATTCTTTCACTCAAGAATCGAACTAACTTTGAAATATGACCGAAAAAAACACGTGGCCGGGCGGTTGGGAGTCGCCGGCTCTAAACTGAAAAGCGACATCTGGTTAAAGAAACTATTTGTAATTTCTCTTATAACCAGTTACTCCGATCCATTATAATGCGCATCCAAGTCTTTCTTGTTCTTAGATCGAAACGCTGGTATCGCGCCTGGACAACGGACTGGTCACGTGGAGTTCTTCGGGTTTTATTCACGTTAGTAATACCTAAATGGGGGTCAGTTTCCCATAAAAGACCTCCCAGGAGACAATCCCCCACGGCAGATCGCCCGTGTCACACGTTGCCGTAACCAAATAAACGAAACTTTCTCGTTCTCCGATTCAAAATTAAATGGAAATCGGATCGAGACGTCGATTTCTTATTGTTAAGTTAAATGGTAAACGAGACACCAGTGAATAAATTGAAATTTAATCCCTTAAGCAAAATATGTCAAAGGCTCTAAGCAACGGAGAGCCCCTCCATTGCCTAGGACATTATAACGATCCCTCTTTCCTTATCTATCTGAAAATATTATAATTCTTGGCTTTTGGAGATTCGAGCACCACAAAACTCCCGTAATGTTTCTTTTTCCTTCACTTCCGAAGATTCGACTTATCCTCTTTGGGCTGTTATAAATGACGCCCACACTGAAAGAGAGAGAAGGGGTTACGTCAAGTCGAAACAAACGGAAAGTGTTGGGCTTCAGGTTCGTTCTTTTCAGTAAATTTTATACAGTTTATGCATTTTATTATATTTATTTCAAAGTTTCTTGTATGTTTAATTTCTACTATGGTATCTATATCATTCATAAAGTGATAAAGGTCTTAAGGGGGTTGAGTTTTGTTGGACGTCACTAAAAGAGAAGGGGTTGCGAAAATTTGGACTAACTGGGACAAGAGGACGAGGAAGAGTAAAAATTTCAAAAAAAAAAAAAAGAAAAAACAAGTGGACGTAATTTATGAACTCCTTTTCCCTGATTCGAATTCTGAATGACGCCACTCTTTCACTCCTTTCAGCGGACAAAGGCTAACAGTCATGTTTCCCATCCTTTCTTACTTTTTGGAAGTGGAGCAAAAAGACAGAATTAAGTAATGATTTTCTCGCTGTAATTCTCCTTTAGACCGAATCGAGTTGTTCTTTAAAAACTACGTAAAACTCCATATTTTGGCTGGGTTTCGAGATTTCTCAGATTTCGTCGATTTTAATTTATTTCGCCGGACAGAGTTCTCGCCCATCCGGATTTTTAGTATGAATTTTAGGGAAGAATAGGGAAAAATAACATGTAAATGACCGCGTTTCGATGCGAAAAGAGACGAGAAACAAAGATCGGCCACTAATTGAGTTTATATCCCACGCCGCACAAACCCTCGAATATAGAAAAATGTCTTACTTGTTAGTTAATTTTACGCCCTATTGTTCCTAATTTATCTTTTTAGAAAGAAAACCTTCGCACCAACCAAACAAATTGTTCTTTTTCATGGACATCGAAACATTTTTACAGAAAACCCATTTTCATTTATTAATTAAAGTTTTGTTTAAGCCCGGGATAAATTCCTTCAAACTGGTCGCTATCGAGTCCCAGGGGTCGATTGAAAACATTAAAAATTATTAGTCCAATCGGTTATGTATATGACAGTTTCGGATGTTGTAAATAAGCACATGAAAAGTATTTGGCTTAATACTGGCTCACCAGATTTATTATTATTATTATTATTAACTGTACTGTATTATGAAAAATAAATGGGAAGCGATGGAAGTTCGAGGAAACCTGTAAGGGGTCGACAATCAAAATAGTTTGGGGACCCTTGATGTAAAGTAAAAAGCAAAACCAGATCGGGGATTAAATAAAAAAAAGAAAAAATGATGGACAATGGGAGGTGAAAGTGATAGAAGAGCGTTCGGGCCTTTAGAAGGAAGAGATAGGAAAAGAAGGAGGAATCGACTTACCTCGGTGATGTATTCTCTTCCGTCTTTTCCTTGGATGGCTTCGACAGCGCAGATGTCCAGACCCCCGAACATCTCCGACACCTCGTCCACCCACAACTTGTAACGCTCGGTCATGGCTATCTGCTCCAACATGGCCGACCCGATGTTCGCTTTCCAGTTGCCAGATATCGACTTTCTCCTGCCGACAATTAATAATTCTAATTTTAAACGCTCATTCTTAATTAAATACAGTACACTATTTCTGTAATTTTATCCATCTACCTTACCGTTATTTTTTTTCAAAAACTTACATGTATGCCTTGTAGTTGTTGCCTATTTTCTGAATGTGCATGTCATATTTGGCGTCGACGAAAGGTTCCACCGTGCAGTAGGTCCGACACACTGCCACCACACTGGCCACGTCCTGGAAGTCGTAGTGGTTCTCCACCTTCAGCTTACCGAGTCCGCCGTGTGCGTGCCCTATCTTCACCACGCAAGGAAACTTTGGAGTAGTCAGCTGCGGATAACAAAGTGTCGATTAGACCATTTCTGATGCCACCCGACTCTCTTCACTCGCCATTTTGCGCGAATATTCCGGAAGTCAACGTGTCGACTTCCGGAATATTCCCGACGGTTCCCGTAGGTTAAAGTGCTTCGTTACGTCTCGTTCTTCGATATTTGCATATTGTAAATCCTTATAGACGAAGAAACTATTACATATTGCCTAAATAAGGCACTCTATTAATGCAGATGATAGTTACGCTTAAGAGCATTCTTCTCAGAAAACAAGAGCTACATCTTTAATTGCTATCTCTCTCCTCCGGTACGACGGAGCGGAAAAGGGAAAGTGGAAGCGTTTGCCGCGGCGCCACAAACGCTTAAAAAATACATAATGACCAGAAGCCGGAAGTGGCGGAAATCGAAAAAAGCGCGGTGGTTTGGGTCACACGTAAATATCTGCTAGAAGACCGGGTGAGAAAACCGCAGGAGCTTAAGGCACTTAAGTACGGAGTCGAGCGCATCAGCGTTTCGTTTCGCGGTGCTTTCACAGCGGCATCACAGTTCCCTAGCGGCGGAAGATCCGGTAAAGCGGGTGGCAGAAGGTTTATTTACGGAAGGAGAAGGTGGAAGCCCGCGACCTTCGACCGGCAATTCTCCGAATTTCCACGTCCTTCGCTGATCGGAGAAGCGTGGGAGGTGTTTATTTTTTCCACTTCCAACGGACGCGAATTCCTCCTCACCTTACTTCACTGCTAAATTTAGGAATCGTCGTTCTCTGGCCCAGAAATCGAGACCTTTTAGTCGTTTCAATGTGAAAAAGGCGGAACAATATTCGTCTTTCTTTCGGAAATGTCGAGAGTAGAGTCTTTGAACGTGGCCCAAGCCAATTCCGGTATTCCACCCGGAAATATCCGGAAGAATAAATGGCAGAAAATTTCCTCGTCGCATTCGGACCAAACTCTGTCCCTATGATAGATCTTCGACTACTGGTGATCCCTCAGCCGCCGCTCCAAACTCGGATATTGTGGGTTCAAACCCTTTAGCCGATGCTTTTGTCGCGATTGTTTATCCAGACCGCCACGTTAGAATCGCTGAGACATGATCTTTATACCTCTTCCGATTTAGGACTAATACCTTCTTCCGGGATGGACGGTTGCCCACCAGAGACTGAGTGGATTAAACCACTAAACATTAGCAGTTGATCATGGGTTCGCGCTTGGCCAACGGATTGACCACGTTAATTTTTTCGGATTTTCTTGTTGTTGTAACACTTAAATAAAGGCCAGTTTCCCATAAAAGATATCCTCTGCATATCGCCCATGTGATCTCGTTGCTGTTTACGAACAAAACCTAAAACCGAGGGTGGCGTTGGCGCAAACGTGGCGAAAAACTTCGATACTGACGGCGGCTTTAGGCTCTTCCGGGCGGAAAGCCCGGAAAAGTATAAAGCCTCCGCCAGGAAAGTTCACGTATTGTCAAAAAAAAATAATTCTTGACTAGTGAGATGTTTCTTTCTTCATATTCATTAAGGAAATTCATTCACAGATCAGTAAAGAAAAATTTGGTTTGTGTTTTTTTTTGGCATAAACCAAACCAATGTCAAATTAAAGAAAAGACATGAAGCGTTTTCCGGTGTGTATGCTCTGTAGGTATCATTTAGCCTATTTTATTAACCCCATCGTGCGTTCGGCGAAACCTACAATGGTGGAATCGGAGCCCGATACATCTGAATGAATCATCTCCGAAAAGTTTCTAAGTCCCCAGAGCAGTAGGATGAACCTTAATCTCTCAGCGACCACCGTCTCTTCTAGAACATAAGGGCAATGGCAGGAACGACTGACGCTCTAAAATGAATCTTGCAATCCAACCCTACGTTTCTTCAATTGGCGGGTGGCTCTGTCGTCGTTCGTAATTTCTTAGTTTAAAACTACTGTAAATGACTAAAGAAGGGTTGTTATAATTTTAATACCATCTATTGTAGACTCGGATATTAATTACTCGTTTTAAATATCGCCTCGTCTTTCGTTGATTTTCGAGTTCAAAAATCGATCTATCTCCATGATCAGCCACTATTTATCTTCTTTCCAACTTTAACACCTTACGTCGGCACCTCTCTCTGCCACCGTACGCCACCGCCTATCGTCCTTCCATAAAAACAAATGAAAGCGAAGGCACAGTTTATCTTTAGTTCCGAGAGAATCTCGGATTCGACCCAGTGCCCGCCACTTCTGCCAAGTTAGTCCGGATTAGTTCTATAGTCGCATCTATATTGTAATCAACTGCTTGTCTAAAATATCTATCATATTTCGTATTGTGTATTTGTACTCATCATCTAGTTATGCCGGTACTAGGTATATACTCAATTCTGGTACATAATAAAGAATTGTATGTATGTATGTATGTAATCGCATCCCCGCAAACGAAGTTCAGAACGGCGCGGCGGTGGCGATGAAAACGCGCAATGGACTTCGTGGCTAACCCGAAAATTGGGCGGATTCTTACCCACAGATAAAGCAAACTGAAGCATTTTTTAATGGTCATTTTAATATTTCTGTATTGCGATTAGTTTGAGAGAGGAACTCATCCCTCGGTTAAAACTGTCTTCCTGTCACGTTATCTCTTAAATCTGAATCTGCGCTGGGTTAGCGCATAAACAAACGCTTTTCACTCAATTTTGGTGGTGTAAGGAAACCGCGCAGTGTCAGAAACTGTTGGAACGAGGAGCGCTACCAGAAGGAAAACAAGCGCTAAGCTTTTACTCGAACGCCTTAAATCGCGGGAGACAGCGTTCAGGAGTGAATTCTCGTTTGCTGTGTTAACGACGTTAAAATATGCCCCCCCCCGATATCTACGGTCTGTAGAGAAAGAAGGACACTAAATCTCATCGAGCATTCTACTGGCCGTAAATATTTGCATCTCGAGCTACGCTTGTAAATGAAGTACGGAATTAATCGGCCGACGGCCGCGGGGGGGGACGTCATTGATGTCGCCATCTAACCGTGTTCCGGGAAAATTTCTCCCCTACTTCGTTACCGGGCACCTCTCCCTCCGACTCAGACCAACTAACACCTCCGACCGAAACCCGATTCTTCGTCCTCCCGCGGCGACCTTCCCCGGGAAGAGAAAAAAACGCTTACCGCGCGTTCTTTCCATTCTCCGCATTCATTTCCATAAAAGTAGGAAAAAGTGGAGACGACGACGAACGACATTCTTCCTCTCTTCACCAGTACCCGTTTCCCTCAATTTTCTGTAAATTTCTTCGCCCTTAAACCCTCAACGTCTAACTCCTTTTCTACCTTGGTTCTTTTATGTTAAACACTTTCCGATACCAGTGGCCGAATTTCAGCCGAGATGGTAAGCGGGCCATCGGAGATATCAGGGGCGATACGCAGAATACGGCCCGCAAAGTAAAAGTTTCCATCTTGTTTAATTTAAAATTGAAATTAAAAAGAAAACAAAATTCATACATAAGTTCATTAACTATCGTCGTATTTCATCGCGGACGGATACCGTTAAAATCAATAATATGTGCGTAGTTTTGGTTTTGACGTCTGACGTCACACGAGGAATCGGTACACGTGGTCTAAAAACTTAGACTTACGCCCGTTAAAGATCAGCTCTTATTCAAACTTAAAGACATTGTAAAGAGATAAGAACTTGTACCACAAATTTTCCCTAAATTCGAATCTGCTCCGGCTCTTACGTAAGTAACGCGCATCTCGACACCTTTCGGTACGAAGGGCGTATTTAGACCGGCTTCGGTGCGAAAGGAGTGGCCGCAGATGTTTGTGTACTTTTCTTTTTTACATATTTCAAAATACAAGATTACAAGTGGAGGTTTAAAAAGAACAATATGGCTTGGTATAAGTGAATACGATTTGGCCTTGAATTGTATTTCACAATTTTATTTCGACTCTGTTGGATTTACAAGACAAAAATTTGAGAATTTAGACTGCTTTTTAACTACTGTATATATATAATATATAGTTGTTACGAATAGGTCTACATGAAATGTGAGAATTATAATTATATTTATCAGAAAGATGGTTAACTTTGAAATAAACCCAAATCCCGAAATTAAAGAAATAGGAAAGTGTAACACATTAATATCAAAATTAAAGGGTATTTATAATATAGATAAAATTATGTCATAACATCAGGAGAGTGAACAATTGATTCTTCTTTGTATTTATAATTTTGTGTTTTTATTGTATTAGTCTTTCTAATTGCTAATTATTTTGGGAAAGCTGAAAAAATGGCTTTTTTGCCAATGGTTCTGCCATATTGTACTTTACAATTAGCCTATATAACGATAATAACAATAACAAATGATTATATAATACTAATAATAATAACTTGAGATGAAGCATAACAGATGTTTTTTCTGCTCCATTCGCATAACAAAATAACAAGTAAAACGTGACGAATACACGGTGTAATCCGAAAGACGGAAGGAATAGCGAGGAAGAAAGTTCTGCCGCTCGTCTCCTCTTCCCAAAATCACGAACGGATGGACAGATGGACGTATCCGATCACTATAACTATAAAGACAATCGTCCCGAAACCGGAAAATGATTACGTCACAACAAATGGACACACTGGAAAACGGGACAGACAGAAACGCAGTCCGAAACGAAAAGTTCCAGATCGATTCCCAATTTCGTTACGTCTGGGAAGTGACGAAATAGGGAATCGACCTCGGTCGGAAAATCGGAAGTCTTTGGCCCTCCCGACGCCAGAAATCCGACTCTTCTTCCAAGATTTAGGATACGGTGGCTCTTCCAACCTGACGGAGGAAGTCTTCTCCGTATTTTTCTCGGAGTTGCAAGATTACAATTCCCTTCCTTTAAGATATTTCACGTTGTCACGTGGAGAGAGAACAATAAATGTCCAACGCGTCGGTCGGCGATGCGCATCGGTGGCAAAGCGCGGACGTCGTCTTCTCCGGAAGCGTTTGGCCACGCCGCCGACGCTTCCGGGAAGAAAGAGGACGCCGTCGACGCTCCCGGAATCTGAGGGGGGAGTCGCCGTCGATCAACGTCGAAACCTCCCACACTTTCCCGCCAAAAATTATTTATAGAGGCGCGAGCTCCGTCCGCGAGCCAAACTCCACCGATCCGACTTCACATCGCTCCCGTCGGACACACACTCGCTCCCGCCTCAGGTAAGCGCTTCCGGTGGGTTGACTGGAGAAGAGATTCGGGCCTCCCATACCGCCCGGAAGGAGGGAAAGTTCGGGGAGGACGAAGGCAGCAACTCTTTTAAGGGCGCCGAACGTTCCAGGGAAGGAACACGTCGGAAGGAACTTCCCTTTTTTCGAAATCGGTTCGTCTCTCACCCCTATGCCTTCTTCCCGGCGAAAGCCAAAGAAAACGCCGTTCTGGTCCTCGCCGGCGCGGCGCAGCGCCGACGGAACGCCGAGACGACCGACGGGCGCCGGCGGCCGTTGCGACATGGGCGGCGAAACGGCCGCGGTCGAAGATTTGCCGTCAGTATCGAGGACGACGGCGCCGAGAGAAGACGCGCGCGTTCGGACTCCCGGTTTAAATTGTCGTGCAGCGGCTGCGAATGCCGCTCCGCCGCCCGCTCTACCCAACAGGTGAGTGCGCCGCGCGCCCGCTCCCGTCGCCGGCTTCTCTTCCTCCGACCCGGGAGGAACGGGGACCGAAAACACCTCGTCCCCCGAGACGGAGGTCGCCGGTCACGGTCACGCGGACTCGACGTCGCGTCTAGAACGGCGGTGGGCGTCGACGAGAGAAATTTTCGTCGGATCGACGAACCCGAATAAGAACGAGGCTGGGACCATCGCCGACTCCGTCGCTTTCCATCGCGCGCTATCCCCGGCGCTGCGCTCTCGGCCGGACTCTCTTCCGCGCCGCGGAAGGGAGTCCGGCCGAGAAAATATTTTCGTGCAATTAGAGATTGATTCGAACGACGCCGCCGATGGGATTTGCACCTTGGTCGTGGAACAGTGCCATCGGAAGTCGACGGATGTCGTAACGGAAGTGGAAAGAGGTCAGAAGACGGCGCGTGGCGAGAAGACAAATATATCAGAAGAAAAACGGGCTCAGGAAAGGGATCGAAAAGAAGGAAGGGAATTGTTCCTTCGGGCGATTCGTGTTAGGGTCGATAGGAGGTGTCTCTGCGAGAGGGAGAAAGGCGGGGAACCTCCTCCCTTTCCTCCTTCTCTTTGTTTATTTATTCGTAAAGACTGGCGCTCTCGTCCTTAACATTCCGATGGTTTCCGGGAAACGTGGGACGCCTCCTCTTTCGCTTCTCCAACCCATCGTCGTAGATGGTCGCTTTCCCCGCTTTCCTCTTTACCCCGCGTCGCTTCTGCCGTCGAAACAAAGCTCTACTCGTCGGCGGAGAGACGAAGGTCAAAAGGAATTAGAACCGAAGAATTCCGAAGATTCTCCTGTCGTGTTTCCGGAATAGCTCGACAATTTTTACGTCAGAAGGCGAAGCGCGCCACTTTCGAGACCGTCTTTCGCCGCTTAAATGCCTTGGAAACGACTTCGACCTCTTTTCGACCTCGCGCTAATTACGTCGTCGCCCGTCGAATAAAGTAACGAGCGCCGACGTCGTCGTCGCTTTGCTTTTTCTTTTGTTTTCTTTTTTCTGTTTTGTTTCGGACGCAAAGGCTTCCGTCATCGCGCATGCCAGACGAACGCCACGACCCAAGTTTTGGAGTTTCTCAGAAAGTTCTTCACTCTTAAAATTCAAGAGTTGGAAGGAAGGCGAATTCGTTTGCCATCGGAATTTCCCCTTTCGACGGAATTTACGAATAAATCGGATGGACGAGAACGGGAAAAAGTGTCGTTGACTAAGGAGGATCTTTCGATTTTCACTTCTTCAGCCGGGGAAGCGCGTGGGAGAGAAACCGGAAGTGGCGCTGCTCGGTAACGGCGCGTACCAGAGCATCGACGTGTGAGTAACGGTAGGAATCGGACAGATTCCGGAGATTAGAGTTTTAATTTTGCTTTCTTTTTTCAGTTCCAAAGTTTTGCCACGACAAATGGCTTCTGTTCGTAAGTTTCTGTTCGTGACGGTGGTGGGTCTGATGACGTACGCCGTGGCGGAAAGCTGCCTTTGCATGAACTTTCACCCTCAAGAACATTATTGTTCGGCAGACTTCGGTGAGTTTACACCGGGCAGCCCCTCCCCTTCCGTCTCCATCGGCTGTCCTCCTCGGAAGTTTCGTTTTTCGTCCGATTTTTCTTCGTAAAGTCAACTCTTTGTCATTTTACGCGAGGCGCGGCGAAGGACGAAAGACAGAGGTGAGAAGAGTGGTCTTCCGAGGGGGAAGCGAAGGAAGGACCGGAGTGAGCAGCCTTTCTAATGTGTGGGTAGAAACGCCGAAGTGCCATAATCGAGCTATTTTGTATCCCTTTCCAGTGGCTGCGGTGCGGGTGAGAAGAATGAGGAAGAGCGACGCCGACGTCCACGTCTATCAGATCCGAACGAAAAAAATATTCAAGGTAAATAAGCCTTATCAACGTAATTTATTTTTACTTTAGCGCGTTAAAACTCCTACGCATAATTCGACTTTCCCTTTCTTGAGACGGACGTTCGTGCGCTCGATTTTTTAAGAGCCTCTAAGCGGTGTTTTAGTCTTGGAAAAAGGAAGACTTTCCGTCATTAAATCTTCGCGAACTTTTGTCCGGTTCAGATCGGAAGTCGGGTCAAAACCGAATTTCCCCGTAAGGTGAGTGATGGTTGGCCCGGTCACAGGCACGGAAATAGCGGGGAGGTCGTTACGTCCGACGCGTGATTTACGTCCGAGATAATAATATAAATCGATGATTGTTTCAGGCCAACGGCAAAGCGGAAGAGGCCCTTTCTCACGGTCTTCTATGGTCCAATAGCAAAGAGGCTATGTGCGGACTACGTCTCCGTCCGGATAAATACTTGGTGACAGGTAAGAGTCTTTAAGTCTCGTCGGAATTCTGTTTGTCGTGTCTTTTTGTCTTCACGCTTCTGTTATCGTTATTATGAAACCGGATCAAAACCGGGATTTGGCTCCGGTCGTTTCCGGTCGATCTAAATATAAACTAAAAGCGCGTGGTCGAGTGACGTAACGAACACCGATTTCGACTTACCCTTACGCGTCATTCGAAAGATTTCGTAAGAAATGCCGACGTAATAATCTGAAGTGAGTAAGTCGGCCGTCGGCCACTTAAAATACGACGATTACTATTTGGCATTCGATTAAAGGAAGAAACGAGTATCGAGATAACGGAAGTAGTGCGTGTCTGGTCTAAAATATGGAAATACGTTATTTCAAGGTCGAATCACGGGAGAGAAGCCCTGGGTTTCCGGCTGTAACTTCGTGCAGAAGTGGTCGACGTTGACCAAGAAGCAGAGGAAAGGTTTTCGCCGTCTCTACCGACAGGGTTGCCACTGCAAGGTGAGTCTATCTCTTTACACTGCACTCGTAAATAGCCTTAGATAAAAAGGGTTACGGGACAGGTTAGCGATAGTCTTCCGGGTAGCACCGACAGCGCCTACCGCTTTCATTACCGGCCGGGCCAACCGTAGAGAAGGCATTCGATTCAAACGACGACGACACGCCGTGTGGGAAGGCGACGGCTCCGTTTCCATCGAGATAAAACGCGAAGGGAGGGCGAGTCTCAGATAAAGGCGAAAGTAACACGGAATCGATCGATTAAATGGAAATGAGTTTTAAAGCTAAAAAAAAAGTTAAAAAGAAAAGGAACACGTTCTTCTTCCTAAAGTCTGAGTAATTGTTTACATACGGCATCCTTTGCTCATTGATAACCCATTCGACCCTCCGGCAGGTTAGAACTCTTTTTACACGTTTCAATTTTACTACAAACGTCAGAACATTGTTTTTCACCTCCCTTTTCAGCAAAGTTCTTAAAATAACGTTTAAAAATTAATTAGTTTGTTTCATTAAATAAAAAGGGAAGAACGGGAAGAGCAAGAAAGTTCGAAAAGTCGCGTAGCTTTCCCGCAGAGGCGCTTGCGTAATTCGGAAGTAGTTAAAATTAATTAAAATTAATAGTGACGGACACCTTCGACGTCAGAAATTTTGCGCGTGACGACGGCCGGAGACGAAAAGTTTTAAAGGAATTCAATTGGTTAATTAACGGAGTGGTGATTGCAGGTGAGGCCGTTGTTCGGCTCTCGACGAGCCACCAAAGGTCGCTACTGCTCCTGGGAGACCGTTTGGACGGACTCGGACTGTCAAGGAAAGCATTCCCTGTGCGTGCCTACTCCCGGTGACGGAGACCGATGCTCCTGGGTGAATAATTCCGCCTACCGACACTGCATGAAGCGTTTCCGGAAGGAAAAGGAAGAGAGAAAGCATCCTTAGGACCGGCACCCTCCGGACGAACTATTTTTTGTCCCCTGTACGTAGACGTATTTGTATATAAGTGTACACGAGCACGCGCCAGCTGGCGTCGTGTACGTAAGTACCAGCGCCAACTTTTCGCCCCAAGGCGAAGTTCCGGAGTTTTCGCGCGATTACTGGAGGAAGAGAGACAGAGGAAAAGAAAGTGCCGACGTTTCCGGTACCGAAAAGTACTTACAAATGTCGACAGCAGAAATTGCAGTTCGCAAAACGTGTGTATATGTATATATCATTGCATAAATAAATAGTAAATATATAAATATATATATATATATAATAAAAAACTGACAGATCTTCTGTTAGTAAATTTATGTAAACTTTGTACAAACAATCAGCCGACGTCGACTCTCTCCTTTCAAAAACAATGTATTTATGAAATATAATTATTATAAATTTCGACGAAAGAGAGAGAGAGAGAGAGGCATAAATTTATGTATTATTTTAAAGGGGCACTTCGTTGTCGTGCGTATTTTATAGTTATTCGATACTTTTCCGATGTATAGAATTTGAAATATTCATGTAAATAAAACTTTCCTTAATGACTTTTTATATTTTTTAAAGAAAGAGTTTCATTTATATCCATACAAGTTCGTCGTGACATGTCGCGTTTACCGTATCGCGGGTGACTTTACATTTCAAGCCGAAGCCAATCCCGATTTTCCGGACGGACTCGGTCCCTGGAAAGAATTTTTTCATCGACAAAAGCACAAAAATTCCCAGAAGTCGTTGGTAAACTAAAGGATCTTCCCGTCTCTAGGACGAAAACCAAACGACAAGGGCAAAATCCCAGTGTATTTTTCTTAACGCCAAAACGTGTTCAATCGATAAATATGCATTCGAATGTACTCGATTTTCTTCGTCTTTTGCTTATATTTAAGAAGGAACACTTCGGTAAATTCCCACCGACGTTTGCTACAAAGAAAGCCGACGTTTGGATTCGCAGCTGTGTTTTTTCCTCACCACGCGTTATTACGCAACGATTACAAAATTGCGTAAATGCCGGATACGTATAAGATTACCCATTCGTTTCCAATTTTTGTTAATTCGGGATGCTTCGGAGGGCGAAGAAGATTGGAGTAAACGACTGGGAAATTTAATTTAGCAACAAATAATTTCGTATACAAAAAAAAAATGTCAGAACCGGTTAGTCAGAAGGAGCGTTCTAGAAGGGGTGGTCGCCGGTAGAATAATTTCTCGGCCTAAGTCGGACGGAATCCTCGCACCTTTCGTCTTCCGACGGGAAGGTGGCGGAGGCATTTTACTTTTAGTTCGTCACACCCGGAGAACTGAACTTTCACCTTTCTTCCTCCGAACCAAAACTTAACTCCTATTCTGGTTCAATAAATAAATAAAAACCATCTGAGATGAAGGTCGTTCCCCACCGGAGACCCACCCCGAGTTTTACTTTAGTCGTCGGTTTTGAAAGGACGTTAACAGTCCGAATTTGAGAGAGTGAGGTCACCGCGGCTGTAGTCTTGGGATACAATTTTCTTCTTTCTTTTCGAAACGATAGTCTAACCGGAAGTTACGTAAACGTCTTGTAGTACAAAGCAGAATTACGAAACGTTCGCAACACTCAAGCACATTAGTTTGTTGGTTTCTCGGCCGAAGGACTTTTCGAAAATCCGAAACCACCTTTATCGCTTCTGTCCGTCCGCCAGGAACAATTAAAGGTCTGTCCGGTTAAAGTAATAAAGGTAGAAAAACGGCAGGTCGTTCCGCCGCTAATTGGAATAATAAACAGGCGGTAAAATAAAAAAATGGCGGTCGAGCACTTAATGTTACCTTAAGTCGGGAAACCCGATACGTAACCGAGGAAGTTTACACTCGAAGTTTCTGGTAATATCGTCGAGAATAAGGAGGTTTATTAGCGGGATGACGAAACCAGCCGTGTTTCGAAACACTACTCGATTCATTATTCGGTTCTTTCCAGATAAGGCGCTATATTTACATCGACCTGCAGGACCTCCTCTCCATCTTAAACCTAAGCTCCGGTCTCACAGACAACGCATTCCTCTTCGCCCCCGGATATTGTCACATGACGTCATCTATCGCTTATTCTTCCGTCGTTTTCGCTATAAACACGGCTGGCATTTGTAACTAGCGTCGACGCCAACCAAAATTGCGAATTGTTGCTTTTTTTAAATAGGAAGTTACGTAACGAACGACGTCATTCTTCTTATTACCCTCAATACATAGAGTGTTAGAAGGCGCTTGTTTCAAAATCATTACTTTTTACGAAAAGGACGATGCGGAGTTAACCACATCTAAAACTTGTCTACGACAAATTTTCTGCCTGGTAATTACATAACATTAGAATAACATCGACGGTTACCATTTCATTAACTTACGTCCCTCTTAAACTCATTACAAATAAAAATTTCCCACCTCTTGCCTTCCCATCCCTCGGATTAGCCGTGGGCGGGAATAAAAGGATTTTCTTACCATTTCTTTATGATTGGGATAAAAGGCTTGCTCTATTAACGGGAAATTCTCTCGACCCAATCTCCGCTGTATTTGCAACAGATGAGAAAACTGCAAAAGAAATTTCTATTTTTTTAATAAAATCTTCCCAAAATATTTTAAAACAAACATTGAATCTTTATATTGAGACTCTTTCTGTGCCGATAAAGTCGCGTCGTGCCGAAGCTCACGGAACAAATAGTGTCCGAATAGATCTTATACCATTTGGCCAGGTGAAGAACAATTCTTTCTACTTTTAAGAGATAAAATTGGATTTTATACTGACAAAAAGTACATAAGAAGCCAATGGTGTCTTACAGTTTGCTGTGCACTTTTAGCATTGGATATTAACTCCGTATAAACTCGTAGCGATGATCACGATCGATATATCGATACAGGAAGAGTGGAGGAGAGCAAATTTCAAAAATTCTTACCACCCAAGGCTTGTCCTGAAAGTTGTAGAGGCTGTGAACTGTGTTTACGCTGGGAACTCCTCCATATTTAAATCCCAGAAGTAAAGGCCTGTAGTCTTCGTTGGCGTCCCTGACGTGTTGTCTAATCAGTAGAAAATCCGGCCGAAACGATCTGAAACGCAATCGTCACCATTATTTACTCCGAACTTCCGCTTTCTGTCGAAAAAAACTTCTTCCTTATTATTCCTACCGGCCTAATTACGTGATAAAGATCTGTTTACGTCCTTCTCCAAGACACGCGCAAAACAAGACAACTTTAAGGAGCAAAGGGGTTGTTTTGGCTTCCCCTTAGTTCTTTTCTCGTCGTCTCCGCGTCCCGAAGGCTAATGGGCGTCTAGAAAATACCGAACGAATGCTTTAAATATAGGCCAAGAGTGCGGTCGTTTATGGGACGATCTTACCCGCTGACATATACGAAAGTTCTAGCAGTTTATACAAATTACGTTTTAATAATTCTCTTAATTTATGTAAAAATCTATGGATCGGAGAAAACTATTTTCTCCGTCCCTAGTTAAAGTCTCCAAATCCTAAAATGAATTAATCCAGTTTATTATCGCCAAATTTTAGGCAGGAGCACGTTCTTTATTCTTCCTCTTTATAGAGACCTTTCGACAGAAATATAGCGTAAGCTGAAAGATGACTTACAAACGGAACTCGATGCTAAGTAGAGTAGAAAGAAGAGTTTGGCCCGTTTCGAGGAAACCGACTCTTCTAACATTCCCACGAAAAATCTACTACCGGAGAATCACAGGGTTTAGATTCGTCGACGGATCTTCCCTCATAATTTTCGACCTCGTCCATATTATTTGATACAAAGGCGTATTTAGATAGAAAAAGTAAAATTTGGTAGAAAAGATGAAAACCACGGCGGAAACCGAGAACCGGTGGGAATAATTGCAACACTCTCGAAAGTAGATTAATTACTTGTATGTGGTTAAGTAGGTCGATTTTACTTTAACCGTCATCGATTGTTACGTCACATTCGACCGAATAAAGTATTTGTTCTTTATTTTGTGTTCAGATTTCTCTTTAAAACGGCAAATTCTTCGATGATGGTCCGAATAACCCCGATCCGTTTTTTCCTCCGAATTTTTCCCCAAGATCTGCCACCGGCAGAACATCGAAACTTTCTAGAAATACTAGCGATAAAGACGTGCAAAAGTCGTAAGAATCAACCGGAAGTTACGAACGGGAAACGCGAGAAGCTCGGATCGTAGCGGAAGAAGAGTTAAAATGGTGGCCGGAGAGCGATTTTACCTGACGACTTTGGTTCCGTTCCGATAGACGACCATGCTGACGGTGGTACCGCTCTCGCAATGGGTGGCCAAACTGATGTCCTTGAATTCTGCCTAACGCAATAAGAATTAGTATAAATTTTCACCAAAAAAGAAGTAATTAAATATAAATTTCTAATAAAAATCGTCGGAAGTAATATTCTTCCTTATCGATATCGAAAAAAATAAGTAGAAAAAAGTAAATCCTTCTCGAGAAAAATAGAATAAATGGTGAGCGATTTGTTCGGAGGTCGCGCATCATAATGCATTTAATGACAGTTTGGCACGCTTTCCTTTAAACCAGTGTTTTTCAACCTTCTTGAATATGCGACCCCTTTACAAGTTAAAAAATTGTGGCGACCCCCCTAGAGCCATATTAAAACTATATCAGTGATTTTAAAAACTATGTATTTAATTTTCTTTCTGTTGAGACAAATTATTGTTGATTAAAATGAAAATTTTAGGATCGACAATAATTTAACACACATAAAGTATGAAACTTCCTTTAACCTTTAACATTTTTTTTTCTTTTTTTTTTTAACGTCAGAATTTTCAGCCTCTACTTTTTATTTCTTTTTGCAAATCAGCTCAACAATTTTTCGGCTATCATTTTCTGGGGTGGGCCGTAATTCTCGCTGAAATTGTAGTTTTTTTAATGTAGTGTAGGACCTACAAACATTTGTCTTTTTCTTTTACCCGCGACCCCCAAGGGGGTCGCGAGCCACGGGTTGAAAAACACTGCTTTAAACTGTCGAAAGATTACGGCACTCGAATAGAGATCGATCCCTTTTCCTTTTTATCTACACGAAAACTGTGTTAATTTATGAAGGCCAAATAATTAAAGAATTGAAAATTCGGAACGTGGTTAATTATTTCGTCCTATTTCGTTACGCTAAACCAAAAATACAGTCGCAATATAAAGATAATTACGAATGACGTAATGGTGACGAAAACTTTCGTTTGGATCAATCCGATACATATTTAACCCGGTGTAACCGAAGCCTATAACAACAGACTAACGCTTTCATTTCCTTTCGTAGTAAAAACGCATATTACAGGTCGATATCTATTGGTTCTTTTTCTTTTCAGTCTGTAACTGTTTACAATATGTTTACCGCGAGTTGCCGATAAAAAGAAAAATATATACAGGCTTGTATATTTAGAAATAAATACATAAAGTGTAGATAAAATCTGACACAAAAGGAAAATATGACTTTAAAAACTGGGATCGGTTTACTGCGTATAATTTTTTATATGTATTTTAGGTAAAGATTATTTAAAGAGTATAAATTTCTATTTTAAATACAACCTAAATCTCCAAAATATCTTATCGACGTATTATTAATTAAAATTCAGTACTTTTATACGAAAATCGGACGTGACTTTGCGCATCATTTTTTGTAGGAAAGGGAATAAATAGGTTTTTTTTTTTTTTTTAAATCTCAAATCGTAGAACACATTTTGGATTTTTTTTACAAAGTGTGAATAGAGTGGAGCCTCGAGAATTGAGCTTTAAAGCTTATATTTAATGTTAATAAAGATAGAAGAAAAGAATTCTCCAAAAAAATAAGAAAAAAGAATTAAAAGAATAAGAAAAGATGTGACGCGGATATCGCTCTACCTACCCTCTTTGTTTTAGTCGCAGTATGGAGGGTTTTATACGATACCTGTCTCTGATTTACGACTTTTGTTTGTACCAATTTTTTTGTCTTTGTTAACATGATCTTTTTCGATTTTGTCATTTAAGGCAATCCTGGTGTATCTGAAATAAACTCAATAAATAAGTGAAAGATAAATTAAGATGGTTCAGACTTATGGAAAATTAAAGGAAAGCGATCGAGTGTAAAAACTATTGAACGGTCCAACCAGGGAAAGATAAATAATAAATCAAATAAAGAGGAAAGGTAAAGGCAAGGAAAGAATTGCGAATAACTTTTTGATGCAAACGTCGAAGAGATTTTGTCCACCTCCTTCCGGAAGAGACGTCCAGTCACGATGTAAACACAGAAAATTGCTTACAAAACATTTACGATTGTTAAAAACTCTAAAACAATAGATTCATATCTTCGTTCGAATATCGCCTAACATTTAATTATTAATTTTGTTCGAAGGTAGATCGACTCGGAAGTAATACTCTCCAAAACAATTCTTCACTATCTACAGAGCGTAAATACTATCAATTGTTCTCTGCCTACGCGAAACTTCGAAAAATGTGTGAGTAATCCAAATGTTATTTTAGCTGTAGTCAGTATTTTTTCTATCATTGGCAAATACAAAATACTGTATTTAAATATAATTTCAATTGTAATCAAATGTAAATATAATTTCAATTTCAATCAAGTAAAATATCATTATGTGATATTTTACTTTATTTATTAATTAAATCCGTTTGAAATATTCGTGATCACTATATAATAATTTGTAATAAATGAGTTATTTTCTCGATATTAAGGTCTACCTATAATCTTTAGGTGTGCACAAACGAAACTCGGGATTAAACAGGCCTATAGTATTATATACAAAATATCCAATATAAAGCAAATAGGAGTGTAATTTTTAAAATAAACGTCTACGAACTACATTGATATCCAGCGTTTTCATTTAAAAAAATACAAAGCTTTTGAATTGAAATTCTTTTTAAAAATAAGATTAACGAGGAATGACGTTCTAAAGAGTTACTTCGACTCTAAAATCAATTAATATTTAGAAAAAATTCAACTGGTTTTTTTAGTTATTTAATGAGAAATTCTCTATTTTCTTCCGGTAAGTTTCTGTAGAATATATATATGTGTATTCCAATATCCAATGCATGTACAAATTTAAATTCCTTTCCAGTCACGATATTACGAAATTCCATAAGTTATAACATAATGAATATTTTCGGAACAAGGCTACCGTATATTTTATTCATCATTTCACTTCTCCATTATCCAAATTCTTCTCGGGTATTAAACCACTATTGGATAGACCGGTAACGTTCGCCAATTTATATAATCCACGCTAACCAGTTCCAATATATTCTTCTACAGGAGAAATTTCCAACGCAATCTGTCTCCCGGCATTACTTTCTATTATCGTTCTTTCCGCATTTCTGCAAACCACCCTCTGGCATCTTCGTGTTTTTACAAATATTATTCGTGTTTTGGTAGAGGGCGTGAACCCGTATCGAATAACACGAGTTTACTTTACGTTCGATTAAATATTGAATAACCCAAGCTGTATATAACCCGCATTACAATCGATATACAAATAAATTACTTAATAAATATGTATTAAGTAAGCTGTATGTTAATATTTGTCTGTATCTAAGGAGGACGGAGACTAACACGCGAAATTTTAATACGAAAACATCTTTAAAACTTGGTAAGTATTTCGAGGTGGACCGCAGGGAGTTTTTTTAAAGGGGGGACCAAATATTGGCTACTTTTAACACCGGTATAGACAGTGTTTCGCACGGAAATCGCCCAGACTTATTAATTAATTAAGTTAAAAGATAAAATCCCAAGTGAATTGAGACTAGTACCGAGCCTATTTTATAACTGATGGCAAAGTTATCGTTAATCTCCGTAACGAAACCGTTCAGAAACCAAGACAGCCGGGTGGCGCCTCCTGTCGAGAGAGATTAGAATGACGTTTACGTCCGGGCTGACTCTTCTTTCACGCGCTTCTTGGTATACTTAAAAGACGAAATTAGTTGGTAGTTCGAGCGTTAAAATCGATAAATTGGCATTTAGGTAATATTTACTAACCTGTTCCACTCGAATGTCCCAATCGCCATGAATGCGCTGACCTTTGAAGTATTTCGACCTGAGAAAACAAATAAAAGTATTAGAAAGATCTGGCTTTTAATTAATTCTTACAAAACGTAACTGCTCTAACGCCCATAAATATATTTAGGATTTTAATTATGAAATTAACTAAATGAAAATCGGTTTACGTGAAAGATCTCAGTAAAATTAATATATTAAATCATTATAAAAATTATTTATATAAAATGCTTGTAATAAAATCCCAATTTTTTATATTGTAGAAACAGAATAATTAATAAAATTTTGCATAGGCAACACGATTGGCTCTATTTATTCCATGTTAATTATTAAAGGAAAGACTGGAAATTTTCTCTAGAGATTCTCGACCGAAAGTACTCATCTGTCGTGTAAAATACAGCTTAAATTTAAATCGAAGTAATCAAAATATCTGACAATGAAAAGTACAGAAAGAAACAACTGATGTAGAGTTGGAATGCGGATTCGTTTCTTTAACACGTTCTTCCGCAAATTCAAATTTACGTGTAAATAACAAAGAAAGTGGAGTTTGCTACATGCATTCCGGACGAGGGTACATTTTTATTGGCAACGACCTTTATTTGAATTGTTATTCATAAGATTAGACTTTCTAAAGTTATCGGATGCCAGCGGGATCGAGTGTCACATCTGTTCCCGCCATATGCATATGTACTGTACAATAACAATTGATGCGTCATCTCCGGAGATTTCTAGGAAAGATGACCGATACAATTCGTTACGAACACTTCTATCTTAACTTAATTAACTTACAAAGAAAATTCGTAAAATAAAAATATAAACGGGTCCACAAAATACTTAAAAATGTTCTAGAATATATGCTGTAATAAGTGTTCATGTATTAAAATTTATGTAACATATAAACGTGTACAGCTAGTATATATTTACATACTTTATAAATAGACACAATTAATCGATTTAATTATCGATAATCGATCAATGTTTGATGTTAACTTTGTGAATGAATCTCGAAATAATTTATTCCAATCGATTCAGTCCAGAGTAATTAAAATAAATTTCATTTTCATTTATAAAAAATTTCCTATTTCGCTACATAAACTTTTTCTCTTTTACTTTTATAAATAAATTTTCATTAGAAATAAGAAAAGTGAAAATTTTCCGGTTTAATTTTCGTGGTGTTAGCTACAGAATCGCCGTCATTGAAATCAAATAGTTTCAATGTTTATTAAAATTCCCTCTAAGATACTCAAAATAGCGTATACTGTAAGATACACAAGTAAATTAAACATGAAGTATTATAAAGACTAATATAGCCTAATCTTTGAATAACAGAAACACAATATTTTATATTTATTGATATTATTGCGATGTCTATGAAGAAGGTATAAAAATTAACATAGAAGACCTCGGCTAATAGATATTTTCGAATTTTCAACTGTAATTATTGATTAAGCAACTCCTAACTTTTCGAAAGAGTTCAACAATTCTGCATTTTCGACTGTTCCCAGTACAGCGTTAAAAAGACTTAAACAAACTTAATTAAGATAATATAAAAATAAATCATTATTTAATTCTTGGTCGCCGTTTCAAATAGCTTACTTATTGTTAAGCACAAAATAAGTGCGTGATCTTAGAGCGATAGGAAACCGCAGTCCACCGCCAAGTTTATTCGATTTTTGACAAATGAAGAAAAAGAATAGAAAACATTAAAATTAGTAAACATATAATTGACCTTTCTTCTATATTTACGTCTCAAAAATCGTACCAACTCTTAATTTAAAAATATTACTGTTATTTACATTAATCTTTTTAACGTTCAAGTGTTTACAAATTAAAAAAAAACCAACTGTATTTTGCTTTATAGCTTCTAAAAAAAGCAAACGTGTGGGAATTATCGGAATATAAAATTACTCGCGATTATCGATATAACTATTCGTGAGAATTTCATTACTTTTTCAATAATTCAAGCTATGTTTACGCGTCTTATTGATCATGAAAATTTGATATCGGTTTATCTATATTTCATTATTCTCTTTAACATATATTTCCACGTAGTTAAATGTAAACTATACAACCTCTACATTGCTATAAACACATTTATTCTTCAAGTATTTCTTCGATCGATAATTTCTATTATTTGCCTTTATGTTGCGAACAAATATTATTTAAATAATTTTACAATTTCGACGAAATTCGATGGCGAATTAATATCGTCTCATCGATTATGGCAATCGATAGTAGTGAAATTCGAGTAAAAAATCGATGATATAATAATAACAACAATAATAATATATGACGTCTTAAGCAAATATTCGTGTGTTTGTCATCGATTCGATACGACGATTTTGTTTTCTGCCTGCCATTTCGTGTTTTACTTTACTAAACAAACAGAATAGAGATTTCCTGTGAAATATAAAGAAAATCAATGTTTGCTGTTTTATTTACAAAATATTATTTTTAATATGTGAGCTAAAATAGATAATTTATAATTACAAATTATATATTATAATTTTTATATCAGTTATCAGATTTAATTAAAATTATCTTTAAATCGAAATTAAAAAATATAATGTACACGTTCGTCTTTCGGACACGCTCTCTTTCTTTCACGATACAGTAATTTGATATCTTTAACTATCTTTTCGTACATCAAATTCGCATTTTATTTTAAGTAATTTTTTTAATGCTTTGTAATATATTCATTATAAAAACAAACTTTTCTGCCTTAATAATAGATTTTGTAGTTTTTATTATACGAATCTCTATTGTTCAACTTTCGGACATTTCTAGGCACGAAGTCGTCCGAAAATCGAAGACTATCTGTATATATACATGTACAGTACATTAGTATCAAAGCGCAGTAGCCATCTTAGATTGACTGGATAAATATAGAATAATCCAGAACGAAGTATCGAAATTCGAAATAATTTCTGATTTCGGGTTTCTGATCAGCTGGTAGCGGACAATCTAAAATTTGCCCAAAGGCTATAATTGAACTGTCTACAAACTGTTTTATTACTCGCGAATAAACTGTAATTCGCCCAGAAATTTTCAGTTCACAAATCTTCAGTGATTGTGTATGTGTACGAAACATTTCCTATCGTTGAAGTTTATTCGCATTTTAATTTTAAAGGAATTCATGATATTTGTTTGGTCACCAAAATAATACAATAAATACAATACTCAAAAGGACTGAGACTATTCGAGTTTTCACTACTTTGTACTGGGAAATACTAGAATCTTAACGTATACACACAATCTATATTTCAGTTATGAGTTATAACTTAAATGTTTTCTTTATATGTTAATTTTATAAAGGCTAACGATAAAAATTACAATATACAGTATCTACAAAATAGATTTGTAAATAATTCTCTTTATTGTGCAGTACATCCACTAAACATTTAATATTAAAATACAAGTGCTTTTATTAAAAAATTAAATTATTATTTCGACACTCTAAACTATTTAAAAAATAATCGAAATATTTAAATAATAAATTTTAGTTTAGATAAGTATTAAATTTTTAAATCAGAAAAGATATAAAATTAAAATTAGTCGATGTTTCAGCTCTATTAAAGAAAATGAAAAACTGAAGATAATTTATTTGAAATTTGATTAACTGCGTTAATTGGAAACAATACATTTTTCATAATGGAACCAATTAAACGGAAACATCCTCGACAGTCTCCATCCGTCCGTTCTCTTGTCCGATACAACTTGGCTATTGGTAGCTGATGTACAGATAATTGATAGAGTGAATGACCGGGTCGATATTAATTTCCTATTTTTATTTTTTGTTTTCTATCCTCTTTATGCATGCGATCTCCAACAGATGGCGGCAAAAATCTAATGCTTTTTCTATTGAGAAAAACATTTTTCCAAAAATTCTGGAAAACGGAAGCAGATAGAAGTAAACAGTTTTCTGCGTTAGAACCTTATTTACGTTAGAAACTTGTGGTTCAGAACTTTGAAAATTCAATTTGTTAATTTTCTACGTTTTTAACATCGTAGAAAATTAACAAATTGAATTTTCAAAGTTCTGAACCATAAGTTTCTAACGTAAATAAGGTTCTAACGCAGAAAACTGTTTACTTCTATCTGCTTCCGTTTTCCAGAATTTTTGGAAAAAGGTTTTTCTCAATAGAAAAAGCATTAGATTTTTGCCGCCATCTGTTGGAGGTCGCGTGCATAACCGAATAAGTTTTAATAAAAATATAAAAATCTTTCTTCGATATTTTTATTAGTTTTTCTGTTTTTCGTTTGCACTGTATATCAAATTGCGCTTCTATTCTTTAGAAATTCATTCAAAATTTAAACTGTCATTTTAAATAAATCCTTCAATTTTATTAAATTGAAAGAATAATATATAAAATTTTTCATTTTCTTTTGGTTAATCGGAATCTAAAAATGCACATACTTTTTATCAAGTTAACCATAGACCAGTGAACACAAAGAGAAATTTCATTCCACATTTTTTATTCAATCTTTTATATTTATTTTTGTATATCAAATGTATTTAGACACATTGTCTCTTTAGTGAGTGTACATTGCACATAATAACCGCATTCTAGGAATACCAATTTATATAACTACAATATACTGTAAAAATGTGCTGTACATCATAGCGGGGAGACAAGAATACTACTAGCCACGAAAAGAACGAGTATGCTATAGGCCTATACTTTCACGGCTCAAACTGGCGTATTCATTCATACTATTTATATTTATAATCTTTTTATAATCTGTATAATATATACAGTAGAGGGTCGATTATCCGAAATAGTCGAGGACGGAACAATTTCGGATAATCGATAAAACTTGATAGTAAAAACATTATAAAGATAAATATCCTGAACAAAAGTGTCAACGTTCTTTCTTTTTTAGGCATCAGATGCTTCACTGTGCTTAGGCACAGTGAAGCATTAGAAGTCTGTGACATTAAACATGCTTTTCCATTTGTACTGTAATAAATAAAACTTAACAGTAGTGTTGATAGAGATAGCTCGATAGCGGCACTTACAGAACATCGCCGGCAATCGT